GCCCGAGACACAACTCCTCTAGCAGAGCTGGGAAGAGAACCCAGGAGCCCACACACACACACACACACACACGCTCTGGCCCGAGTCACAAGTCCTCTAGCAGAGCTGGGAAGAGAACCCGGGAGTCCTGTTTTTTACACACACACACGCACACGCACTCTGGCCTGAGACAAAACTCCTCTAGCAGAGCTGGGAAGAGAACCTGGGAGTCCTGCTTCCCAATCCTCTGTTCTTACCACTAGGCAACACTGCCTCCACCAAACCATCCACCCCCTTGCCTCCCCCAGTCGTTCCCTCTTTTAAACCCTTTCGGAGCTTTCAGCTGGGGAGGTTTAAAGCTGAGTTGATTCTGTGGTAGCTTCTGGCAGGTAAGAAAGATACCCATCTTGTGCATTTGGAATGGGAGGGCGGACTCTGGGCCACGGTGGGCATGGGGGTTGGACCAAAGCGGTAACGGATCTGAGTTAGGCTGGGGGATGGATGCGTGATTTACCTAGCTTGAGGGTGAAGCTGGATTGTGGGTGGGAGGGGCAGATATGGGGTCTGAGTTCAGCTTGTTGATGGGACCTAAATACTAATGCCCTGGCTTTCAGTGGTCCATGTTTATAACCGTTCTCCTAATGCTGTTGAGTGAATAGATGCTTCCTCCCGTTGTCACTATTGTCAGGAAGTGCTGTGTCTGGGGGGATTGCAGTTACAGATGTAGTGTCTTACTGATTGCTTGGTGGAGACAGGGTCATGGGACCCCAGCTGGGTTTTGCTTCAGGGCAGGAAAAAAATAAACCCACAAACACCCTGCGAAGAAGAGATGTGTGTTTAATTCTGCACTCTTCACTTCCCCCTAGATCCGAGGTAAAGCCCAGGCTGCACCACTTACTACCTGCCTAATGTTCACCTTGGCAACATAATGGAAAGGATTGGCCATGCTGTTCAGGGCAGGACCCAGGGGTGATGATCCACAACATTGCCACTAAGACTTGAGATAAAAACCCATGGCCCAGATCCACCCCTTCTTTGTTAAAAACCAATGACAGAGGACTCCTTGTGAGGACACAGATTCCCTCTCCTTAAGCTGTCAGGGGGATTTGTCCCTGCAGTGCATTGAAAATGGTTTTAAAATTGTAGGCTGTCACTTTTTAAATTTCAGAGGGTTTTCCTGGCCCTGCTTGCAGCTTAGGAGGCTCTGTAGGGAAACATGTGTTCTGAGCTAGCAGCAGTCAGTCTGCAGACAGCCAGGCTAGTAAGGTGGGTGGGGTGAGTTATGCCTTTCTGTTTTAGGGAGCAGTCTGCTTTGTCTCTCTCTGTTTTGGGGTTCTTGTCTGGAAGAGCAGAGTGGGGCACTGCAGAACAGGATTGAGGGGCATTGGGACGGGTGTGTCTGAGATGCTCCCATGCCACCAGACTGCACTGGGCACATGGGGGTGGGGAAGCACCATGTTGTAGTTCCCAATGAAGAAAATGTACAAATCTGAGATGAAACCTTCCAACCAAGCCAGCTCCGAGATGGGATTTGGGCAAAGGAAGATTTCACTCTTCCAAGAGTCGGAAATGTGACTGCTTTCCCTCGGTAAGGGCCTGTACAAACCAGCCCGACGGGTGTCTACTGAAAGAGGAATTCGCCCCACTGCACCTGTGGAGACGGTGCATGGGGAACTCACAACGTGACCGGTTGTTGCTGCAACTTCCACGCTTGGCTGAGCCTGGGTGCATGGGGTTTCCGGTGCTGGGGGAAACTGACAGTTAAAGTTCTCCTTCCTTCCTTCCTTTGCATTGAATAACTCAGGCACTGAACTGCCTCCCACCCTGGCAGACGCAGGCTATTTCATGATCCTAGAAATGCCGGGCTGGAAGGGACCTCATGAGGTCATCTAGTCTAGCCCCCTGTTCTGAGGCAGGACCAAGTCAACCTAAACTCTCCCTGATAGGCGTTTGTCCAACCTGCTCTTCGAAACCTCCAGGGATGGGAATTCCACCACCTCCCTAGATAACCTGTTCCAGGGCTTGGCTCTCCTTCTAGACAGTTTTTTTTCCTATTATCAACCTAAATCTCCCTTCCTGCAAATTAAGTTGATTCCTTCTTCTCAGTGGACATGGAGAACTGATCACTGTCCTCTTTGATATCAACCTTTTACATATTTGAAGGCTGTTATTGTGTGGTCCCTCCACCCCAGCCTTCTCTTCTCTAGACCAGTGTTTCTCAAGGACTGGTCCGTGGACTGGCGCTGGTCCCTGAGATCTCCCTGACACAGTTTAGGAAGGCATGAAGCACTTCCTAAACTGGTATCAAAAAGGTTGAGAAACACTGCACTAGAGTCTAGACTAAGCGTGTCCATTTCTTTCAACCATTCCTCAGAGTCCAGGTTTGCTAAACCTTTTCTTGTACTTGTTGCTCTCCTCCGGACACCGTGTCCAATTCGGTCACATCTTTCTTGAAGTTCGGTGCCCAAAGCTGGACACAGCTCAGGCCTTGCCGGTGTGGAGTGGCGCAGAACGGCTGCCTCCTGTGTCTTGTATTAACAGAGTGTCTGGGTAGATGGGCCACGCCTCCCTCTGGCTAACTCGCTGCTTCCTGTCCAGCCGAAGTTAGCAGTGACCATCTGATGGCAGGATTTGCCATGTGGAATAAGGACCTAAGGCCCAGGTGTGCTGGCAAGAAGCCAACGCTTTATTTTCTGGCTCCATGTGACTAAATGTCCCTGCATGTGACAGGACTCGAGCTCAACCGACTCCAGAAATACCATCTTAAAAAGGAAAAAAAAAGGGAATAAAACGATTCCAGCCAATAATGCCAGCCAGTTACTAACGTCCATCTCGGCGCCACCATGGTGGTGACTCTGCAGCCGCTTTCTGGTCTCAGAAGGGTTCCTTCTCCAGCCCTGTTCAGCTGCCGAGGCGGAGCTGCCACATGCAAGATTTCTGTTCCCAGTGACTGGGTGGGAGCTCCGCTGACAGCCACCTGCTAGGGGCCCTCAAGAAAGAGGGAGCCATTGTCCTCCTTGGTTTTATTTAGAGGTCTTCTGTTCCTCCTTCGGGACTGACCTTTTTCACTTCCCCGTAGATCTGAGGAGGGTGGGAGAGTGCAGAATTAAACACGCGTCTCCTCTTTGCAGGGTGTTTGTGCATTTGTTTGGGTTTTTTTCCTGCCCTGTGATGGGGGCAGCTCTTTGGGATTCTTGCTGTAATATTTCTTCTCTGGTCGAGTTTTTGATCTACCTAGTTCTTGTCTGGCGTTCTTTATCCAGAGATGCCAAAGCATTTTACAAAGGAAGCAAATATTACTCTGCCTGTTTTTCAGATGGGGAAACTGAGGCACAGAATGGCAAAGTGACTTAGCCGAGGTCCCACAGCAGGTCAGTGCCAGAGCCAGGACAGAACTCGGGTCTCCCAAGTCCTTGTCTAGTGCCCTATGCACCGGGTCACATGGCCTCCCATTAGTCTTAGGGAAGGCAGGATGGCCTTTGAAGATAGATCACTAGATTAGAACCCAGGTTTTCTGAGTCCCATTCCTTGCTCTTCCACTGGCCTGCTGGGTGACTTGGGGCAAGTCACTTCCTCTCTTTATGCCTCAGTTTCCCCATCTGTAAAATGGGGGATATGTCTCTGGCCTCCTTTTGTGAAGTGTTTTGAGATCGACTGAGGAAAAGCGCTAGTTAAGAGGTGGTGGTGTTAAATCAAGTTCTCTGATGTTTGCTGGCTTTTTTACTAACCCATCTGGATGTGCGAGGGAAGGCTTTGGCCTCGGCTGCTTGAATTGAGGTATCAGAGTGTAGGTGCTGAAATGAGCAGTTAGGGGGTTCAGCTAACTTTGCTTCTCCTATTGTCTCCCACACACACGTTTCCTGGGGGCCTGTCACCTGTGTCCACCAGCTGGCCTGTTCCAATCCCTCCCAGACTCAGAAAACCCTTCCTGGCCCAAGCAGCGCCCCTTGGCCTGGAGGTCGGTCGCTTACGTGGCTGATCATCTTATTCGATAACCAACCCCAGCCCTTTAACTGCATCTCTTACCTTGATCCCAGCTCGCTGTTTGCTCTGGAGGGATACGTGGTGCTCGGTCTCCGTTAGCCACGGCCCAGTGTCTGACAGGAGGAGGAAGCTGAAACCCAGATCTGTGGGGAAAAGGAAAGATGGGTCAGGAAGATGAGGTCACCTACGCGGATCTGAAATTTCCTCCCAGATCGCAGCAAACAGATGTGAAGAAAGCAGGTAACAGTCAGCCACAGGGAGCTTCTTGGGTGGGAGCCCCGGGGAGGGGCTTGGAATATCACCGTTCCCATGTGTTACGTTACATAGAGACAGCATGGCCCAGTGAATGGATTGTTGGATTGGGACCCAAGAGACAGGGCTCTATTCCCGGGTCTGCCACTGTCCTGCTGGATGATCTTAGGCAAGCGCCTTGCTTTGCCGCTCTCTGCCTCAGTTTCCCCTGCCACCCTCTGTCTATTTTGGCTATTTAGATTGGAAGCTCTTCAGGCCAGAGACTGCCTCTCACGATGTGCATGTGCAGCACCTAGCACACTGGGAGCCAGGGCTCGGGGGCGGGGAGGATGTCTCTAGACGCTATCTAACACTAATAATAAGCTCAAATAAGACATTCTCTTCGGGCCTCCCAAGCCCAGCCTGTCGCACCAGGACACGGGTTGCTGTCGCTATTTATGAATGCTAAGGACCAGCTGGTGTAAATTAATGTATGCCGCTGGAGGAGCTGCGCTAGGTGAGGATCTGCCCTATGACTTTCTCCCTTCTGCTGCGGATACTGCGTAGGGTCTGTACCAGATACACACCGATGTATTGTTTTTTTCTTTCCTTTCTCCCTCAGTACACCCAGAATCAAAGCCCCCTGCCCAGAGGACGTCTCTGTGGCCTTGGCTAGTGATAGCAATGATTCTCTGCGTGCTGTTCCTGGTGGTGCTAATTTCCCTGAGTATCCTGTGTAAGTACTTTTGATGGAAAGGATGAGGGTTGGTTCCCCCCCGGCCCTGTTAAATGGAGAGAACAGTGCTTTTCCCCGCTGAAGTGTGCTCAGAGAGCCTGAGCCTGCTGGGCCTCCCCACCCCCTGAAACACTCCTCCTAAGTCCTCCGGATCACTATTTCATGATCAACTCATTCCCAACCGTCAGCTAGTGGATGGCAGGACATTCTTGCCTCTGAGCAGTGTACCCAGGAAGCTATTGTGTCAGAAGCTGGCAGGGTGACTTGACATGTGTCATGTGGTAACAACTTTTCGGTGGTGACACTGTTGGACAACACTTTTCGACTTGCCAAGTATGGTCCCTCTAGTCTAGGTGAACCTCCTTTCCTAGGAAGATCTCTGCCCCCGAGCCCTAGATTTGAGATCTTAACTCTCCAGCAAATGCATCCTCTTCCCTTAGCATCTCCTCCACCTCCCCAGTTTCATCCCTAATGACTCTCCTCAAGTGTAACTGGCTTCTAGTGTGGGCTACCAATCTGTGCCTAGACTGATGGGCACCACAAATCCCCAAGGCTGGAGGGGTCAGTTAGATCAACCTAAAGAGAATAGTTTAATGCAACAGTAAAACCAGATGGCCGATGTGAAGGCTGAGGCTCAGAGGCAGCTCCCACAAGGTCCACACTGTTCGCACAGACCTTTCAGACCGGCTCCTGATTAAAGGCCAGGAGAGGCCTTCGATTGAGGCCACAGTTGGCCTAGCTTTCATATCAGTGCTGAGACAGATGCTGAAGTAGACTGCCTTTGGGAAGGGGCCGCCCCCACTCAAACGTGGCGTCTTCTCCCTCTGCTAGATTCCCGGCTCCTGGCTGGCAACACGCGGCTTCTAGAGGAATCCAAGAGCAAAATGGAGCAAGTGGAAGGGAGATACTCCCAGTTACTGCAGTGGGCGTTACACACAAATATCTGCACCCTGTCCTCCAACACCTCAGAGCCCCGCAGTGAGTACGGTGCCATTGTCCCCGGTTCAGAGGGTGAAACTGAAACCCTGAGCAGGGAAGTGACTCTTAAGATGGTGGGGCTGGCAGGAGAACCCAAGAGTCCAGGTTCCTAGTCTCAGCTCTGAACGCCCACCTGTTGGATGGGCCTTAAGGAAAGGGCAGATGCGCTGCTGCCCCGGCTGCCCACTTGAGCTACGAAGGCCGATCTCTCCTGCCGTCTCGGGCAAAGGTCCGGAGCTGAGACGGCAGCTACCCAGCCAGCGGGAGGGGCACAACGGCCTAGTTCAGGTGCTGGTTGGTCTTACGCGGCCCCCTGTTCTGAGCCAAGCTGTGCTCAATTTCCCTCTCCTCCCTCCTCAGACATCAGCTGTTCCTTGTGCCCCTGCCAATGGATTTCAAACCAAGGAAGATGCTACAACTTTTCTCTAAATAAATTATCGTGGAATGACAGCAGGAGCCGCTGCCAGAGGGAACAGGCCGATCTAGTGGTCATTAATGATCGGGAGGAGCAGGTAACGCGAGCTACTTACTATCATGAAGCCTCCTAGGGACGTTGTGGAGTTTTTGGTTGGTGGTTTTTTGTTTTGTTTTGGTTTGTTTTGTTTTTTATGCCTCCTTTTGCAAGCCCACCCTGGGCCTGACCTTTGAGGAAGCGCTGAGGACGCCCACGTCAATGGCCCTGGCCACCTGGGCTGTCCCATGACCCTTAGCACAGGGCTTGTGTGTTCCGTAGCGACTGCAGTAGGGCTTAAGAGCGCATGCTGCAGCCCCTTCTGTGCAGGAGCTTGGGCAGGATTGTTCCCTCCCCCTGGAGGGCAAGGGGTTAAGCCGCTTCCTGCCTCCATCTCCTTCCAGGCTAGGGGGTGAATGCATGGGTTGCTACTTGGTCATTCTGCCTTGTGCGTGGGTAGTGGCCAAGGCACTGAATGGCCCCAAGGGGCGGGGGCATGCCCGAGGAATAGGAGCCTAGGGCCCCATTGGTCTGTTGACCCAGGCTGATGTTCCGGGGGGGGGGGAGCTTTTCCTGTGGGCCCCAAATTCTAGCTGAATTTTTCACATGGCCTCAGTGCTGAAGGAAGGGACTAAGCTGGACTCCTCCAGCTCTGAGGTGGCCTCTGACAATGACTACCAGCTCAGGCCCCACAGGGAGGTAGGTGGGGGAATGCCACGTTCGAGCGCCAGGCCAGGCACTGAGCAGCAAAACGGCCTCCGTTCTGAGGCCGCTGGGGGACTTTGCTGGTGGAAGTCTTGACCTTGTCCATACCAGGAACCCCCAAGATCGCGCCCTTTCCCTCGTTGACCGACATGGGAAGGGCAGGGCGGTCATGACCCCCTGACACCTGTTCTTGACCCCCAGCTTAAGACCCACTGCAATAGAGGAGTCAGTTCTGACTTATGGGATGCCAGGGATCACAGAACAAACTAACTAAAACAGGGCTAAAATCTCTGGGAATGAAAAGCGGGGAGCACACGTCCCACAGTGAAGGACCCCTCATCCCCTAGATTAACAGGGCCAGCTGGGTTCTCTTCCCCCTGCTGTAGTGGATGCTTTGGGGAAAGGGCCCTTTTTTGTCAGTTCAGTGGCCTGGTGCGATTTGTGGTTGAGAGCAGAATGGAGCTTCTTAGCAGAAACATTGAAGCGTCTCTGATGCGGCGCTGTCTGTAACCTTCTCCAGGTCTTTCTCAGCAAGCCGCGTGGGCAGTCGGTTTATTGGATTGGTCTGACGGATGTGGCCCAAGAAGGCTCGTGGAAGTGGGTGGATGGCACTGACTTAAACCAAACGGAGAAGTAAGTGTAATACAGCAGGGTCCTCCATAGCGCGCTCTGGCTGGAGGACACTCGCTAAACCTCTCCCCACTCAGCCCTGCAGCAGCTCTGTAAGAAACGCTGGAGGGGAGCGGAAGGGAGCATGCATTGATTCAACAGCTGCACCAAAGGGGGACAAACAGGATAACATGTCCCCCTCTCTTTCTCCTGCCCTCCCCCTCACCAGATCATCTAGTCCAGTGGTTCTCAAACTTTTGTACTGGTGACCCCTTTCACATAGCAAGCCTCTGACCGTGACCCCCTTTATAAATTAAAAAACACTTTTTTAAAATATATTTAACACCATTATAAATGTTGGAGGCAAAGTGGGGTTTGGGTGGAGGCTGACAGCTCGCGACCCCCACCCCATGTAATAGCCTTGTGACCCACTGAGGGGTCCCAACCCCTAGTTTGAGAACCCCTGATCTAGTCTGACCTCCTGTATAACACTGGCCAGATAACTGCCCTAGGACAATTCCTGTTTGAATAAGAGCAGATCTTGTAGAAAGACCTCTAATCTTGATTTTAGAAATGGTCAGTGATGGAGAACCCGCCATGACCCATGGTAAATTGTTCCAGTGGTTAATTACCCTCGCTGATAAAACATATGCCTTATTTCCAGTCTGCACTTGCTTAGTTTCAGCCTCCGGCCGTTTGATTGTGTTCTACCTCTGCTTGCTACTTTGAAGAGCCCATTATCAAATATTGGCCATGTAGGTGCTTATGGACTGATCAAGTCACCCCGCAACCTTTTCTTTGTTAGACGCTAGGAGCTCAGTCTATAGCTAATCAGGATAAGGCAGGTTTTCTAATCCTTTCATCATTCTCTGATCCTTCTCCAGTTTATCCACATCCTTCCTGCGCTGAGGGCACCAGACTGGATGCAGCTGCTCCCGAGCCAAACGCAGGCTGGGCTGACACCAGGGCTAGCTGCAAAATCCAAAGTTACTTCCATTATAATTTTCAAACAAAACTATTTAATTAGATTTTTCTTTTATGGCAAATTGAGTGGGTGCTGCAGCAGGGGGAAGGCCCATCACAGGCAGGAGAGCTGAGATGCAGAGAAATCTGCATTGTTGGTTTCTAAAATGCAGGTGCTGACAGTTCCATGTTTGTTTGTTTTGTTTTTTTCTCTCCAGATTTTGGTACCATCCCCAGCCAGATAACTCTGACAATGAGGACTGTGCATCTCTGAGATTCGAAGAACCCCCGCCACGTAACTGGAATGATGACAAGTGCTCCAAGCCTTTCCCCTACATCTGTGAAAAGGCGGCAGCAGACACTCTCACCATCTCATCTTCCTCTGACTCAGAAAATCTTTTTCATTGCGGCCAATGACGCGGCATCCCAGAATGCCCCTGGGCTCCTCCTGAGCCTGTTAATCTCCTGCTGGCCAAACACCCAGTAGAGGGTGCCGAGGACTCACCTTTGCAGCTGGCTTGGCAGAAGCCACAGGCTGTCCAGCCCCGTTTTCCAAAGGGTATTTTTGCCCAGATCCACACAGGTACTTTAGTGCTTAGCTTCTAGGTCTAGGCACCACTGAGATCCACAAAACCTCTGCTCAGCTGTGGCCTAAACTTGTAGGCACCTAAATTCACTTGTCACCTAAACTTTTCCTCTAAAAATCCCTCTAGAATCCTAAGTGTTCTACCTCTGGGCATGCCCACTGCTGCATCAGGCAGGCACCCAGTGCCAGGCTCCCAGAACACAGCAGGTGGGGGTAGGTGTAATGGAAGGCTAAACTGTATTATATGGTTCAGCCACTGGGTGATACTGTGCGTGTAACCCTTACTGAAGCTAACCTCAGCCATACTTGGCAGTCCATCAACGATCGTGTCGTGAACGCGGCTGGTGTGATCTGTCTGCGAAGGAAGCTCTGTAGCCAGTCCATAGGTGGTGCAGAAGCCTGACCTGCTAGAGGCAGTCCTGAACCCTAGCGTGTACAAGGTGCATGTGATATGGTGTCAGGAGTAAACTAGTGCCAGAGAAGAACGCAAACATGGCAGTCTCTGAGTGCTCCTGATTCTGCACCAAAGGACCGGTGCAGGAGGACTGATAGTCCGTACGCCTGGGCACAGAGTTATCTCCCCATGTATTGAATGGGCAGCCCAGGCGCCTAACCCAGGATTTGTGGATTCCTCTGCGTGGCTAGGTGCTTGAAAATTAGGTGTTGCACCACCAAGGTCCCTTAGTATATCCAGGCCTTTATGTACGCCTGGTTTTCCTTCCCCACCTCTGCTTTTTACAGCTGCATTTTGGTTTGGTTTTTCTTTTCTAAATAAGAGACAAAGAGAGTCTAATAAAAAGAAGGAGTTGGAGGAGGAAATGTGGGAAAATGCCAAGCCAGATCTCTTCAGCTTTGCCCCTACGTCCTGTCAGAATCAGAGTCCCCGGTTTGCGTGTGTGTTTTACGGTGGTGGTGGTGATGATCCCTGGCTCTTAGCGATAAAGTGACTTACACAGGAAGTCAGTTTCTCAATTTTACAGGGGGGGAAACTGAGGCAAAGTGACTTGCCAAAGGTCACCTAGCAGGCCAGTGGCAGCGATGGGAATAGAACTTGGCTCTAGCGAGTCCTAGTCCAGTGCTCTATCCCCATCCCCTAAATCAGAGACCTGGCATCTATTCTCAGCTCTGCCGTGGACTTGAGCAAGTTGCCTCTCTCTGTGACTCAGTTTCCCCATCTGTATAAGAATGGGGTAATGAGGCTGTGAGACCACAGCAGTGTGTGTACAGAATGCTTTGAGAACGGCAGCACAGACTTAGCACCGCTTGCGCAAACACACTCTTTTCAAAGAATACAAAGGTTTCCGAATCAAGCACGTGACTGTGGGGACGTGCCAGACTAGAAGTGGCTTGTTGCGCAGTGCGAGTGGCGACCTGATTGCCTGCAGCAGCAAACCAGGAACCAGTGATGAGCGCCAGAGAGAGATGGGATTTGATGACTTGAGAGCTGCTACCCTGGACAAATCTGAATGGATTTTCAGTGATACAAACCACTTCCCTGGCCTAGTCCCCAGCCACACTTCTGGGAGGAGATTTGCATAGCCCTTGTAAGTAGGACTTTCCCAAGACCCTGATTCAGCTCTTCTGCAGTAGGAAGCACCTGCAGCAAATGGTCACACCCTGCAGCAAGCTGCGGTTCCTGAAGGTCACAGTTTCCTCAGTGCTGTAACAGCAATGGGGCCGCGTGACACCAACTCCCATACAAGGCCAACACATTCTCTTCTCCCTCCCCCGCTCCTGTGACTCAGTTGTTCTTGAGACACTGAGATTTGGCCAAAACACGTGGAAGGCCTTGCAGATAAAGCCTTAGAGCCGAGCATGAAGTGTAATGGCTACAGAGGTCTTTCCTGGGGATGCATTTCACAGCCGTGGGCTCCAGCTGAAAATGACCTTTGGCACTGCTGCAATCTATGCTGCTCACGGCTGTGCGGGTGAACGATCAAGGAACATTCAAGCAATCGTTAAAACCAGGGTAACTCAGGAACAACTTCCTAATCAACCGCTTGAGGAGCGCCAGTTACAAGGGGCAGCTACAGGCTCCAGCCCTTGAAGAGGCTTTTGGCTTATCGAAAAAAACCAACATGGCTCCTTTCTCTATAAAATAAGATTTAGCGGCATCCCGCTCTCCCGGAGGGGAGGGTGAAATGCCCTGAGGCTTCCCCAAAGCGTGAGAATGAGAACTAGCTGATGGGGAACCAGCAGGAAGGCCTCAAAGGAAGGAAGTGGCATTTTGAAATTCTAGCTGTTTGTCTTTTACTAACTCGGCGTGCAATCCAGGTGTTGCATAGCCCCAGCTTTTCCAACCCCTACGTGTTTCATAGGCCCAGCTGCTGCGTGTCTAAGGCAGTTTGGTCTCAGAAGGGGATGCTCTTCTCCTCTCTAGGTCAAGCCTGTGAGCTCCAGCAGGAGAGCAAACCTGGCTTCTGACTTTTGGTGCTTTTTAAAGTCAGAGCATTTCTGTGACTTCATTAGGGTGATGGAATTTGAGGGGGCAGGTGAGCAGTGCTCTGAAAATACCATTCATGATGACTAGGGCCCTAACGAATTCAGGGTCCATTTTGGTCAATTTCACAGTTGTAGGATTTTAGAAATTTTGTAAATTTCATGATTTCAGTTTTTAAATCAGAAATTTCACAGTGTTGTAATTGTAGGGGTCCGGACCCAAAAAGGAGTTGAGTGGGGGGGTTGGTTGTAAAGTTATTGTAGGGGGGGCTGTGGTACTGCTACCCTTACTTCTGCACTGCTGCTGTTGGCGGTGGTGCTGCCTTCAGAGCTGGGCAGCTGGAGAGCGGCGGCTGCTGGCCGGGAGCCCAGCTCTGAAGGCAGAGCCGCCGCCAGCAGCAGCGCAGAAGTAAGGGTGGCCTGGTATGGTATTGCCACCCTTACTTCTGCTCGGCTGCCTGCAGAGCTACGCCTTCAGTCAGCAGCCGCTGCTCTCCGGACACCCAGCTCTGAAGGCAGCACAGAAGTAAGGGTGGAAATACCATGACCCCCCCTAAAATAACTTGACCTCCCTGCAACTCCCTTTTGGGTCAGGACCCCTAATTTGAGACATGCTGGTCTCCCCCATGAAATCTGTATAGTATAGGGTAAAAGCACCCAAAAGACCAGATTTCACAGGGGGAGACCACATTTCACGGTCCGTGCCGTGTTTTTCATGACTGGGAGTTTGGTAGGGCCCTAATTATAACAGTTGCATCTAGACGTTCTTACCAAGAGAGTGGCTCCAGTGGGCGGAGGGGTGTACATGGGTGCTGAGCACTGAACCCATTTGCAGCTACAGCCCCTCCATCCTACCAAAGCTTGCACTGCAAATAGACGAAGAGAAACGGAAGCAGAGAGAAAGCCATAACTTGAGGCTGGTCACTGAGCTGGTGAGTAATAAGAGCAAGGAATAGAAGCTGTGACTCCTTCTGGCTAACCTGCCCCTACTCGCTGGACCTTCCCTTGTCAAGTTACTTGTGCATATTGTCAGACTAGCTGATTCATTTGTTTCTCGAGGATTCAAATTGTAAGCCTTTTTGCTTTGAACTTTCGCCTTTTTCCTTGTGGAAGGGGAAAAAATTACACGCTCCCACATTTGGCCTTTTCTGACACTTTAATCGTTAATAACAACTCATCTACATATTTCAGCAGCTGCCGAATAAAAGAGAATTAAGTCACAGCCAGCAAGACTGTATTCTGTAGAAACTACTGGAAGTGAGCAAGTCAGCATCTGTGGTCTAGGGTGTTACACAGAGCGTTTAGAAACAGGGCCCACAACACAGGGGCCAGAAAACTTCTCAGCCTTCCTGTCCCGCAGCTGCATGCTAGGGGCTGTGTCCCCGCCAAAGGGCAGGTTGATGGCAATGTGAAAGGGCTGGTGAGGCCCAGCCAGCTGCTCCCCTCTGCTCTGTCTCCATAGGCTATGGGTGATTATGGGGTTAAGCTCAATGGGAGTTCCCGAGTCCATCCTTCCCACAGGTGGCTCCAGTGATGACAGTAGCAGGATTTAGGTAGGTAGATGTTTATTCCCTCAGCAGCTGAGATGATGCGGAAGCCTCATGCACAGGACATTTCACCGAGAGTGTTCATTATTTGGCCAGCACAGTAGCAACTTGGGAGTACGTTTGCTGGACAGCAGGCGTGAAATGGACCTGAGCATTCAGTGCACCCTGGTCGTGTGGCCAGCACAGAATCACTAACTTTTTAGCATCTGTTCTCTATTGTTTTTCAGCCTCATGTGGAGGGAAAGCTTCCCTAGACAGGGCCAAACCCCTGCAGCTGTATCTATGCCACATGGGAGGCTATATAAAGATAGTTTGATATAGGTACAAAGGCCCCTCTCTTCCCTCCACCACCTGCCTCTGTGAGCCATGTTTATATGGTATTTGGAGGAGAATATGTTCCAGGGGGTGGACTGTCATGTCTTCAGTGTCTCTCCCCCACTTCCCTTCCATCCCGTGACAATGATTAAAGGCTGGGGGGGGGGGGGGGGATGCAGTAAGGCATTCTCTGTAATTAAGGCTCTGAGGTGCCTACTCACTGTGTGGTCCTATCCTCTTCTCTCATGGCAGGCACCCCAGCACAGAACCACCTAACCGAAGCAGATAACTCCAAAGGCAAATCAGCAGCTGTGTCATGCCAAAAATCACGCCTGAAAAGTGAGGTGATCAGGTTTGCTTTAAGCTGACAGCCTCGGTGGAGCCCATGCTTGCCCTCTGAGCGGCTACAGCAGGAGCCAACGGCAGTAGGGTTTGGGTAGATAAAGAAGGAACTGGGGCCATAAGAATTTGTTCTTATATAGGTCTGAGCCCTTAAAAAAAGAACAGTAATAAACATGTATTAACTGGGA